ATGTAAATGTCCCCGAAACCATGTCAGTAAATAAGATTAAAGATATGAACAAAACACAACATGTTCCAGTGAATTCCACACTGACCACAAGCGATGAGTTGTGATCCCGTAAAGATGTAAACATGGCCACACTTCTACTATTACGTACATGCAATGTCATAAACTACAATTTAATTGCCACACAAGTTTGCCAGGACCTTATAACACAGAATCAACAATTACAACAACACTATAGGGCAGTAGGGCAATAAAAACAATAACAATGTCAACAATATTGTTCAATCACAATTAAATTGTTTACCCGACATGCATGTACAATTAAAATTTATTTACACATATACGCAGGATATACGTAGGATATAAGCTCTCTCAAGGATACTGCTACGTATATGGCTACGGCTACGTATTTGCACAAGGTAAGTGGCTGGAACAGTTGCTCTTAACACCTTCATTCTTCCAAACACGAAGGTGGTACAAGAGTTTTTCAACTGATTTAATTAAAAAGCAGTTATCCTGTTGCTGCTCCTGGCGATGCATAAATAAACAACAAATGTGGGTATTACTCACCCATAATTGCTAGAAACGTCTTATGAATTGCTTTTCATATTAACCCACAGTTGATGAATGGATGACAGACAAAACTGGTTGATTTGAATGAAAATTTGTATAATCTTAACATATCATAACAAAATTATGTTCATAAATCCTTATGAATATTAAATCATTTTATTTTGTGCTTCTAGAGTACAAATTTCTCTTGTTAGAGTTACTGAATGTTTTGTGAAGTCATAGTCCTGGAAGAAATATAATAAGAGTTCAGTTTGAAATAATTTTGAAGATTGTATTTACTTAAAATAATTGAAATAAATTGATTAGAGTTTTTTATTGAGAAATTTTTAAAGTTATTGTTGTTGATTACCATTATTTTTAAAATTAAAATATGTTATGAATTTAGTTGGTTTCAACAATGTCAATGTTTTATATTATAATGTATTTCTGCAGTAATAGTGACCGTTTCAAAGAAAACTACCATCTCTTAGCAGCATTACACATGAGTTCAAGTAGTTGCAAATGTACTTGAGACCCAATACATAAAACAAAACTTTAATGAAAACAAAAAGGAAAGGATTTACCAACTATTTATTGTAAAGTTAAAACGTTTGCAACTCAAATCTTTAGACATTTCAAAAAAGAAGACTGGAAAGCGCTATCATAGATCGCATAACTAGACCAGAACGCTCCCAATAAGATTAATAAACATATAGGATAATCAATTTATTCAATGTTCTAAATGACGACAAAACAAAAACATACCTGACAGTTTAACTCCATTTGGGAGTGCTGAACGACACTTGCCCGTCAAACTCTACTATAGGCTGTGAGGCCACCGTTTTTGAAACCTCGGTGCTAACATCAGTGAAGTCGAATATAAATGTGGAGTAACAGTCTTCAATATAGATGCAGTATCCTTGAATAAGAAGTAAAACCTTCCCCGAGGAAGTTTGCACTGCAACAAAGCCCTCAATAGGCCTCCGCCTAATTCATTTTTATTTCTAATAAACTCCCACTCCTTTCACACCACCATTACTTATACACATTCTAACCTATTTACAATGCTATCTAATTCATTTCGTATAATCAGCTTTTTAGATTTTTGCCGGCTACAACAACAACAACAAGGCTGATCTGAACAGCCTTATAATGATAACAAATCGATGATTCCAAGAGGACTAACTGTCAAACATCGTGGTTTTAGTGGGTTTAATGAGGTGGTTTGTTTTATACTTTATTAAAAAAAAAAATTATAATGTTATTGTCATATGTAAAAATCTGACTACAACTTGATCTTAAATCGTTTATTTACTGTTATTTTCAAATCTAAGCTTGCTTTTATAATTATAGAATAACCTTTAATGAATTAGATGTACTATTGCCTAAATGAACACAGATGTTCATTTTCTTAAGAAAATCTCTTCCAATAAACATAACAATCCTTTGAAATAATATCTTCTTTTAAAAGGTAAACTCATTTAATAGTAATAAATTCATACATACATACACATATACATAAGGATAGATAACAACATGTACAATAAGGGCAACCAACATAAGCTTGAAACATACCATATGCTTAACTCACTGTCTTTGCTAGGCTATTACACTTCAGTGAATTTTACTTAATAACGATATTTTACCACAAATACTACCAACACCATTGTCTCAGGGGAACTTTAAGTGAAATGAGTGATAACACCTTCAAATAAATTGTAACCAAATACTGTCACTGATGATGAATAATAACAACGAGTCTCAGTTGAGACAAATTATTTATTGACTCCTCATACAAACAAGCATACAAACATCTATGCGCATATACTCTCATTTCACTCACATTCATATTCTTTAAACGCTGCTCTTAACAGAGTACAAGAAACCTTTACCAATATTTAAGTTTGGTTTAACAGATGTACGCACGCACAACTTAACAGTTCGTTAGGTTGGCATTCAACGTCACTTTAAAGCTATTTATGTCATTGTTGCATGCTCAATGTAAGCTCATAGACTTTGTGTACGCTTTTTGTGCCGCAATGTTCTACATTTCATTTAGTTTATTGTACAACACAGACAAATTGTCTCTAGTTTGTCTTGTTCTCATTGGGTTGTTATTGTTGTTTGTGGAAAGAATCGTTTGTTCGTCTTTATTATTTGTCCTTTGCTTTATTTCGTTGGGTACGCTCAATCAACAACGAAACTTACAACAAAAAGCACTTTTACGTGCATGCTTTTACTCTTGTATAAGTACAAAAAGAAAATGCTACCATTATTTGTGTTTTTTAAGTTATCATATATTTTCTGTTTGGTGTAAGTTATTTTGTATAAGTTTGCAGTATGTTAACTGTAATAGAAGTAATGTTAAATTTATTACAGGCAAACGCTATGTTAAGTGAAAAAAGTTTAACATACGTTTTACTTCTTATGGAAATGTTTGCTCATATTAAATAAAATTACTTGTTAGAAATATATTGTGCTTATGTAAATATTTGTTTATTGTTAAGTTTCCGTGATAAAAATATGTATATGGTAAATGTGCAATTAAGATAATTGTTTTTGTAACAAAACGTCATTCATATGAATATAGGCTTAATGCTGATTTGGACAAACATTGGTTGACGACTTTTCACTTATATAAAATGTTAACACTATTGAACACAAAAATATTAAATAAAAATAATTATTGTTTATTTAATACTTTTCACAGTTACTATTAACAGAATACATATATATATAAGTATATGCACACAATATATGAGATCATAACTATTTTGACGAAGATTTACTCATCAACATTAACATTTCGACAAGCACTTATCCGCCCAAATAACTTTTAAAAAATAAAACATATTTTGATTTTACTAAAACCGTTTTAACAACATGAAATTTTATTGCATATTTTTTAAATTCAATTAATTTTTATTTTAACTTAAAAATCGATGTTAAAAAAACATCGAAGCTCATTATTAAACTTGTCATATATTGTTGAAGCTTATAAATCTCATACAGTTAACAAGTTCACTGAATAATTGCAAGTATATATATATAACATAACATATACTATATATACAAGAGTCCTTACTTTTTTAGTCATAAATAAAAGGTATGTGATAATACGTATTAAGTAAATAAATAACAAAACGTCGGTTAAATGAAATAAAGAAAATTTTTTCTTCTAATATGTATCCAAAAGAAAAGCAAAAAAAATATTAAAAAAATATTAAATAAAGTAACGAATTTGTCAACAACAAATTTATTTAGCAAACACACTAAAACTCAACTAATAATAATATTTTATTCCAAATTGCATTAATAGTCGTTATAACTTTTATTCAAAAAATCACAGCACTTTGCTGTCAATTTCGATAAATATCGTTAGTCGATAACTGACTGCCTTGTAGCATCAAGGAAAGCAATATTGGCGCAGTAAAATGTTTGATTCTTGCGCAGTGCAGAGTTCGCAGAATTTTGACATTTAGAAATATTTTAAGTGTGAGGCATACAAACGTAAAATTTCATTAACAAAAAGATTTGCTGCACAATGTTGTGTAAAAAATTGAAAATAACTTTTTTTAAACAAAAAATTAACTTTGTGTTGTTTATAAGTGAAACTAATGCTTAAAAATAAAGTGAGAAAATAAAATTTAACTTAAAAAATAATTTGAAAAAATCGTTAAAAATATTTCAGTGTATTTGAATTTTCTTGAATGATTTTCATAATATTAATAACGTTAATTAACTTTAGAATCATTCTTAATTGCTAACCTTAATTAATTTAAAATAATTTTAATATTTCGATAATAAATCATTAATTTTAATTTTATGGCCCTTGTGCATGTAAAGGAATTTCTTTAGCTTATTTAGTCATTATGTATGCAAATGCTTGCGTGCGTGAATGCTGCTAGTATGTGTATGCGTGTGATTGTATGCATTCCATAACGTGATACTTATCGGCTGAGTGATGCAGGTTATGAACCTTTTTTTAAGGATGGGGTTGCGACTCCATCCGTTACTACAGCACGTGTGTTGGTATTTGTGTTTGTGGGTTGCTAATATTTTAAATATTCATAATGTACCAACACATACCTACACACGAATGTGTGCACATATTCACACGTTGCCATTTCAAATGGTAACGTTCAAAGCTTATTGAAGCGCTTTTTTAATTTGGTCTATAACTTAAAAAAGCTCTGCAGTAGTTATCCATTGGAAACTCTACGAAGGAATAGGGTAAAAATTGCAGTTCAGTTTCGTTGTGGATGCAGTGCGGATCGATATTAAAAAATAATAGAACTGTCGTGATGTGAAAATTTGTTGTGTGTGAAAATTTTAGTTAGAAATGTGTCCTTCAGTTTCAAAACATTTTAAATAAAATAATAGAAAATGTTAAACATTAATAATCATTTTTCAACATATAAAAAAGTTAAAAATAAAAACTTCATTTTAGTTTAGACTTGAAACCAGTAAATCCTTGATGAAAATTAAATAAAACTATTTGGAAACTATTTAATAAATTTTAATTAACAAAAAAGTAATTAATGTGTAAAACAAGTGTAACTATTACTTGAAAAGAAAACTATTATGATTTATTTATTTCAAATACTTAAAAATAAAATTTTATTGCATATAATTGAGTTCGGCTGAAAATTTTTCAATTTTTAGTATGTACATGTACGTGAGCACCTTCATGGGTACTTTGGCATTGAAGTGGAAGGGGAGTCATAGAGCTTTCGTGCAAGCTCCCTCCACTAAGTTTCGTGCTGCATGCAAATAGAATAAACTAAGCAAAAGTGACATGTTACTGACGTTAAAAAATACTTAGCCTCGAGATAAACAAAAAAAAAACAAAATTCTAACAAAATTTATAAACTTTTGTTGAAAAATTAAATAATTTAAAAACTGAATTTAATTGTGAAAAATTATCGTTACTGCTTTTTGACCGTCCGTTAGCATACCAATGCACACACACACACACAAACACTCTCACAGAACACCTTAGCAATTTCTAACATCGCAACCAACTTCATTCCTTTAGACTTTTTGGTAAAGTTAAAAGCTCTTACATTTACAAAGGAAAGTTCAATGAAAGTTACACGCGCGGATAAATCCGTAAATATTTCATAGTAGTTGGATGTAGTATCCGGATAAGCAGCATATCTATACTGTAAAAAAAATAAATAAAAAAGAAAATAAATAATAAAATCAAAAGCTCCATCACTGGAAAGAGCACGTAAACTAACAAAAATTGAAAGAAACAAAAAAAAAGAAAACACATAAAAACAAAACATAAAAATAATGACGATGTGAATATTGAGCACATGTTTCAGTAAATACAAAAACAAAACAGTTCGCTTGCATATGTGCGCTTTATATTCAAAAAAAAAAAATCAAACAAAAAAGAAAATTCTGAACAAAATAAGAAATCGAAAATCGTACGAGCACGAGAAAAAGGTGCACATAAATATTTAATCATATGCATACTATGCACATCCGGTAAAATAAAAAATGGCAACCCGGTCACATAAATTACACGGTAACACGCGTGCAATAAATCTTACGAACGCTATGCAACAACAAATGCAAATGCACAAGAACAACAATGGCAACAACAACAACAATGATAAGAATAATTACAAAAAATCAAAGATAAAGCATTCAAGTTCACGCGCGACCACAGCAACAGCAACAACAACAACAACAACAACACGACAAAAATGTTTTGAGTCTTTAAGTTCATATCATGTGCATGCAGTTGCCTTGATATTAGCGCTGACCTTAGCTTTAGCGCCCTCGTGTTGTGATGCCTTTCAGCTGGATGGTTCACAAAACTCTTTTGCCCAGTTCCGAAAGTGGTATACGGGTCTCAATGGTTCTTTGGAGCTTGAATTTAAGACTGAACAGCCAAATGGCTTGGTGCTGTACACAGACGATGGTGGCACTTATGACTTCTTCGAGCTGAAATTGGTAGAAGGAGCCCTACGCTTGCGATATAATCTTGGTGGTGGTGCTCAAATTATCACGGTTGGCAGAGAACTACACGATGGACATTGGCATAAAGTGCAGGTAATTGCATGTTGTGCATATTTAAATATTTATGAATAAATTACAGCTAACGACTGTACTGCCATATTTCAAATTAATACAATGAAAAACAGAAAATAAAAAAATAATTTATAAATTTAAAATATTCTTGTTTGTCACAAAAGAAAATTAGTACTGCATAAATAATATTTTGTACAGTCATGCAGTTGTGATTTTAGAAAATCCTTCTACATCAGTTGCTAAAGCAATTAAGTGAGATTTGTATGTTTCAATGAAATACAATTTAAAAAGTAACTACTTAATGCACATTTCTAGCAAAAAACACTAAAACACGAAATTTATTATTTTTTATAACAAAAATTATAAATGCATAAACTTACATACTAGTTTATCAGCACTGGAACTAGTTGCAAGAAATACTAACGATTAGTTTGCCTATGATGTCCTCATAAATACTGAAATACAATAAAAAAAATATAAAAACATATATAAAATTAATTAAATTCCTTGCTAGTTTTACAAAAAAAAAAAACAGGTATAATACTATATATTTTTAGAATATTAATATTATATAAGTAATATAATATAAGAATTAATCGGCATACTTTAAGTTCTTGATATGTTTTCATTAACTGCAAATAATAGTTTTCTGTAATAAGTCAAAGTAGTTATTGAGTTAAGTAATATAAGTACTATATATTTTTTGTTTATAACTTCTAAATATACTTCATAATTTTTAAAAAATCAATATTTAACTAATTTCCTTCGTATTAAGAATCTATACCTGGCAAGCATTAATTCTAAAACCATTTTCGATTCTATGAAACATATTCATAGAACTTTTAGAATTATTCAATTATCCTTCTTCACTGGTATACCGCAACTACCATATCTCCTTCTTTCCATCATTGAAATGAAACAGATCTATATTGAACTATTATCATGTTGTCAAAAATATTAATACAGTTCTTAAAATCATTAACAGTCCCTGATATTTCACAATTGTCTTTATCTGCCGAACGTTGAAATGAAACAGATCTGGAAATTCAATCAAATGATATCGTAACATATGACAATAGTCTTAAACCTTATCTGGGCTGAATAAAAATTGTTTGTCAAGAGATTACATAACAGATATGCATGATATGGATCATCATATAAGTCTTTCTTCTATTTTTGATAGCAACTGCTTGTGTCATATATACCTGCGGACTAAAAAGTTTCCACTATAGTCTCAACATAGAAACCTGTAAATTCCTCTACTATGGCAAGTTCAGTAATTCCTTCAGCTGTCAGCTTGGATCAGCACTTTCCATATTTAAGAGGCTTCACACTACGCTGTTTGAAATAAATTGCTTCTCTATAGAAGAAGAAAAAAAATGTTTCTGTTTGGTTTAATTTAATAACTTCCCAAATTTTTAAAGTAGAATTTGAAAAATTAAGATGGACGTGAGTTCTTAAGTTTGACTTATATAACTAAATCAGTACATCTTTTCGTACGGATTAAAAAATATATAGATTATATAGTCATTTTTACTATGATTCAAATAAGTTGCCATTTTTATAATTCCTTTATTTAGTTTATAAATAGTGCATTGTTTTATAACTTCTATAACTTCGAGTATTTTGATTGAGTATTAAGATCTAATTTATACTGTTCCTAGACACCTTCTAGTAACTTGTTAGAAAATTGATGTAGAAATACATTAATCTAAATTAAAGATTAAATAGCAAACAATTAAAAAAGTATATCGTATGGTATCAAAAGAGATGTTTATGAATTCTTTTTAGAAAACTATGATGTGATCATATTAATTGCATTTGTTGTTAGTATTATTAAAAAAAAATTATAGACTAAAATTAAAAAAACTACTCCACCGATATCTGTAGAGTGCCAGTTTTTCCCAGTGTTGATCAAATCAGGCGTATCGAGATGTAAAAGTAAAGATGCTAGCTGTTACCAATTCCATTAAATCTCATTTTAAACCGTAATTTAAAATATTTTATAATTAAAAAATTTTATTTTTAACTTCCCTATTTATCAGTGATAGTAAGAAGAATGATAACCTATAACTGAGATTTGCAAATAGTTTAGATATTAATTACTATTACTAACTGACTTCCTGAACTCTTGAATATGCATAGAGCCTCCAAGATCTATATGTTGTCAGAGCTTAGCAGATTTGACTTTAAGTATACCCAGCTATTTTCATCTCTTTGCCAATAGTTCTCCACCATGTTGTTCATCGGAGAGTATATCTGCGTATATTACTTTCAGACTGTCGCAGTGTTTGAGTGACCCATTATTATTTCATTTCCGGATTAGAAAAATTAAATATACATATGTAATTATTAATATCAACATATAAATTTGTTTATACTCACTATATTTATAAAAAATTTGTTTTCCAATTTATATTGTCGGACTGTCTTTTTACAACTAATTATGTATTAATGTATTTATATATATATATATATACATATATATATATATTTAGACTAAATAACTTATAAAATTATATTTCCATTTTGATATTTAAAAAATTGTTAAATATTTATGTTATGTCCTTTATTTTTAGGTGCTTCGTAATGATGAACAAACCTCCTTAGCCGTAGATGGTGTCACACAAAGTCGAAGTACGAAGGGCAAAGAATTTCAATTTGGCAAATTTGCTACCAACTCAGATATTTACGTTGGCGGTATGCCAAACTGGTAAGTAAATGCAAACTGTGATTAACGATTTGACTGACTGCACATTTTGATATCATTATCCTTTAAATTTTAAAGGTACAGCACAAAGTTGGCACTCTTGGCACTGCCGAGTGTCATATTTGAGCCAAGATTTCGTGGCGCTATAAGAAATTTGGTCTACGCAGATCAGCCAGGCGGTTTGAATCGCAGGCAAGAAATGAAACAACCACGAGATATAAAGGTATTATCCGAATATCCTTCAACTGTGGAGAGTTAAAAATAACCAATTGTAATAAATTTTTAATTTAGTGTGGCGATGGACCATGCGACCATGGGGAAAACAAACTGAATGAAAAAGTGTCGAGAGTATGTAGATATATCTCTAATATATGTTTACAATATTTTTAATTGTTTTAAACAATAATATTGTTTGTGTTAACCATTTATTTTTATTTATTTGTTAAAATTCATATAGTTCAATAAATTTTCTTTTGATGTTCTATTAAAGGTACGTTACTGCATATATATTCTTTTCAACTAATTGAAAGAACTTCGTTCATTTTAATTTATTTATTTATTTAGTTACTTATTTATATAAGGTATTTGTTTTTTTACTTATTTGTCAATTAATATATTGATTCGCATTAGTTATTTTTTTAGTTGTGTTACTATGTTTATTAACTTTTTTTTAATTCATCCTTTATTTTTTTCTTTCATTTATTTATGTATGCATATACGTATAAATGTTACTTGTTAATTAATAAATATAACTTTTGTTACAGATTTTTTTTAATTATGTGATTAAATTTTATTTTCAATTTATTTAGATTGCTTTATTCACTTCCGTTTTTTATTTACATATTCAATTATTATTTGTTAATTAATAAATATAACTTTACAGTTAATTTTTTTTAAATTATGTTTTTCTTATCTTTTTCTTTTTTTTATTGATAAATAAAATATATTCATGTTATTGTTTATTCATTCATATTACTTTATTTATGTATTTTTTAATTATAAATTTCTGTATCTTCAATAATTTATTTATGTTACTTGTTTAATAATACAAATTACTTATTATAAACAAATTAATTTAAATTAAATTTTGTTTGTACTTAATTTTTTTTCGATTAATTTAGACAGCTTTATACATTTTTAATCGTTCATTTTTTAAAAACTTTATTTTTTGTTCTATATTAATTAATAAATTTATATAGATATTTATTTTTTGTAGTTATATTACAATATATTACAATTATTTTCTATATTAATTTATATATTTATACAGTTGTTTATTTTGTTTAGTTGTATCACAACATTTGTTTATTTTTTTCAATTTGTTTATATAGTTTTATTCATTTTTCATATTTAATAATTTATTTATTTTATTTGTTTACAAATTAATATTACTTGTAGTAATGTATTTTTTTAGTTATACTACTTAATTTTTTTAATTAATTTCTATATATTATATATATAATATAACAATTTAGATATGTTTTAAGTGATATGTGATATTAGTGATATATAGTGATAGCACTTATTTACTATTTAAATTGATATATATAACCTTATTGTTATTTTTATTCTTTAACTATTTATTTAAATATATGTTGTTTATGTTGTAAATAGTAATTAAGATATAGTTACGTTTATTTATTTACTTCATTTAATTTATCTAAGTAACATTCTTCATTACCTAATTATTTATTTATTAATTTAATTCATAAGTTTGCTTATATTTTATTTATTTTAAGTATGTTGTAATTTATTATCTATATATTATTTACTTGTTAATTCATTTTTTTTTATTTATGTTGTCATTTATTATCTATATATTATTTATTTATAACCTCCTTTCACAACTTTTTATTAAATAATATATATTAATTCATATTTAAATTTTATTCAGTTTATTTTGTCTCGTCAAATATAGTTTATTATATTACTCTTATATAAAATAATTTATTTGATGATATTAGTTCTTCGCTTATTTGTTTTTTTTTTTATTTATTTAATTATTCTAATTAATATATTTATTTTATTTATACATTTATTAATTTTGATGAAATATTTATTTTATATGTTTATAGTTTTTCTTATTTATTTTTAAATAATTTTATTAATTTTTCTAAACTTTTTTTAGTTAGGGCCATAAATTTAATATTTTAAATTATTTTTTTAGGGTCCCAGAGGTAGTAATACCACAGATGCTTGTGAACGTCATGATCCTTGTCAACATGGTGGCATATGCATATCAACCGATTCCGGCCCTATATGTGAATGTAGAAATTTGGAGTATGATGGTCAATATTGTGAAAAAGGTTTAAGAATTAAAATAATCAGTACTTATATGTATTAAATCAAACGCATATGTATAATTACAGAAAAGGCACCATCTGAAGCTACATTTCGCGGTACACAGTTCCTTTCATATGATCTTGGTCAAACTGGCGCTGAACCCATTGTTAGTGCACAAGATGCTATAACGCTATACTTTAGGACTAGACAACCAAATGGTCTATTATTTTATACAGGCAAGATCAATTATGTTATGTTTATCAATTTTTTAGTTAAAAATATAATATTAATGAATATTCAGGTCATGGTACAGACTATCTAAATTTGGCACTACGGGATGGTGGAGTATCGCTTACAATGGGCTTAGCCAATGGCAAACAAGAAATGCATATAAAACCATCAAAAGTACGCTTTGATGATCATCAGTGGCATAAAGTAACGGTACATCGTAGAATACAGGAGATATCATCCATAACTAGTTTTTGTCGTGTAAGCGGAGATAAATATATAAATTCTGTAAAAATGTTTCTTATAATAATATATGTGATTTTAGTTGGTAACCGTAGTAGATGACGTTTATACAGATCATTCTCATATAGCCGGCAAATTTACAATGCTCTCATCTTCAAGAGTTTATGTGGGCGGTGCGGTCAATCCGAGAGCATTACTGGGAGCACGAGTCCATAATAACTTTGTGGGTTGTTTACGTAAAGTAAGTGCAAATGTTATAGTTTTAGTTTTTATATAAAAATAGAATTTATTATATAAAATTATTTTTTATTAAGGTTGAATTCTCTGCGGATACGCTGTTACTTAATCTAATCGATTTAGCTAAAAGTGGTTCGAAATTAATACAAGTGGCTGGTAATGTCGAATATCAATGTCCAATCGGTGATCCACAAGATCCAGTCACATTCACAACCAGGGAATCTCATTTAGTAAGTCTAATTAACTTATTATTCAATTTTATTTTTTATTTTTTATATTATGTTTATATATTATTTATAATTAAATGTTTTAATGACCAAAAGAAATTTTTTTATAGTTCCCCGATGATGACTATAGATTATAGTCGAAATATTGAACAATAAAAATCACATAAAACTATATAATAAATTTTTTTTTTTTTTAAAAATATCTATATTTAATAACTGACCAATTAGCCCGTGAATTAATTATTTTTAAAAAAAAATATATTATTTATATATACGTTAATTTTTATATATCGTATTTATATTATTTTTTGAAATTATATTTTTTTTGCATTAATTAAAAAGTATATTTAAATATTATTAATACCGTATTATTGTATTAAAAAGAATATAATAATAATATTTTTGCTTTTCAAAACAAAACTATTTGTATTTTTTATGTATATTTAAGTTGTTATTAAAGATTCACCTTTTTATTTATTTTATATAAAGGTTCTACCACCTTGGGAAACTGGAAAGCAGAGTTCTATATCCTTTAAATTCCGAACAAAAGAACCAAATGGTTTGATAATCATGGCCACTGGCTCGAAACAACCCAGAGCTAAAAACGTGAGTCATAAATATATTATTATCCATTTACAAAATATAATTCAAAAAATTTTGTTTTTCATAGGCTGTACTTTTTGCTATTGAATTGTTAAATGGACACATATATATACATCTGGACTTGGGTTCTGGTGCAGCTAAAGTACGCGCTTCACGTCGACGTGTAGATGATGGCGATTGGCATGATTTAATACTCAGACGCAATGGTCGCGATGCCAAAGTTAGTGTGGATGGTGTGTGGAATGATTTCCGTACACCAGGTGATGGCACTATACTCGAATTGGATGGCCATATGTATGTAGGTGGTACAGGTCCAGCTTATAACAGTGTAGCTTGGCCATCAGCAATTTGGACTGCAACATTAAGACAAGGATTTGTTGGTTGTTTAAGAGATTTAGTGCTAAGTGGTAAAGCTATTGATATTGCAGCTTTCGCACGTTTACAGGATTCTGGTAAGTCTTTTCTGAATTTTTTTAGTTTCCATTCTTTTATATGTGATAAATCAGAAAGAAAATTTTTTTCTTAATAACAGCAAAAGTTTAGGGCAATGATAGCAAACCCTTTTGAAAACTCGTGGACCTATTAAAATTAGTTTGTTTTGTTTTTTTGGCTATCGAATATTAAAAAAAATGATTTGCTTAATTATGTTTGAGTAAACCGTTTTAAACCGTTTCACCACGGTATGATTTTATTAAGTTGGAGCTCTCTGACATTAATGTCTGTCGTTTTTTAAATATATATCTAGAGCTCGAAGTACATTATTAGTGAATAACCAGTCCTTGATAGCAAAGTACTTCACTACTTAGGTGGTGTTGTTATGGCTTCATATAAAATTTAAAAAACCAAATTCTAACAGTGCTAAAATCAAAAACTGAACCTAATATACAGGGGTAAGGGTTTTGCAGATCTAACTACAATAGATCTGATAATGTCGCAGTTCTTTCTGGACTTTAATAAATAATAATAAAAGTGTCTCACATATACCATTTTCCCCATCTTTCTTTTTGAGTACATATATCCACTGGATTTGTTATGTGAAACACAATAACACCCGTGCTATAAAAGTTTTCATAACCATCCTATATTTGTCATCGCTGATCTATAGCAGTTTTCAACCTAAATGTTTATTAAACATTTAGATATAAAATATAAAATTTTTTCAATTTTTTCAAGCTTCCGTTAAACCATCGTGTCATGTTCAAGCAAATGTTTGCACCGGAAATCCATGTCTAAACGGTGGTACCTGCATTGAAGGTTGGAATCGACCAATATGCGATTGCTCAGCCACACTTTATGGTGGCCCAACGTGTGGACGTGAATCAGCGACTTTGGCTTTCAATGGTAGTCAGCATATGACAGCTTGGCTAGGCAACGGACAGGGCACCAAGACCCAGACAGAGGAATTAATTTTACGATTCAAGACATCGCGTCCATCAGGTTTACTTTTATTAACAAGCGCTGAATCAAATTCACCAGATCGTCTAGAGATTGCACTAGTTGCTGGACGTATACGTGCCAGTGTACGGCTAAGTGATCGAGAAAAGGTAAAGTAACGTTTACATGAATGCTTTTGTGAACAAATATGCTAACGCCTATCTTATAGAACCTTCTCGCTGGCCAATCAGTATTGAATGATAATAACTGGCACACAATACGCTTCTCGCGTAGGGCATCAAATCTACGGCTACAAGTTGACGGGGCTCCCCCTGTCAGGGGTATGTTATGTATGTATCAACAGCACTTCTATTGCCCTACTACGTGTCGTGCCGTGTCGTTTTTTTAAACTTACAAAAAAAAAAGAACATAAAACCAAAATAATTGCAAGAAAAATACTCATTTTATAGTAATTTTAACCGATTTCTTAGAAGCATCTGTAAATCGGGCTTTGTTTCGCTTTGTGATGTCCGTATGTTCAAGTATAAAAGACTCAGTGTAAATAATACCAAACCAATTAAGTTTGAGAAGATTATTTTGTAAGGATAACAAATATTTCATGACTAGGCTTCTAGGATATTAGCATACATAAACTTGAATATATGTTTCATATAAGAATGCATTTCTCATCAAAAGTGCAGTCATTTTGTTTGATTAAATGAATCATTTTGAAACGAAATTAATGAATGATTTAAGTGTTTTGCTTTTGAGTTTGAATCGAATTCATTTTAATTATGTTTTTGAAAAACTAAGTAGCGTGAAGTTTAAAAATTTTATACTAAATTGGTTAGTTATGACTTTCTAAATACCACCACACCCCGCCAACCCACCACCACTCATTCATTATTTGTTGGTGCATTAATCCACTTGGTTTTGTTTTATGAAAACTCATTAACCTTTTTTTGTACTTGTACTTCCTCTTAACGTTTGTTTCGTCTTGTACTATAAAAATCAATCAATCAATCCAAAACTCTCATACATATTAATTCAGCAAATGTATTTCAGATACTTTATTTCATTCCAAATTTATTTCTGTATATTTTGTATATGGTTTGTTTCCCCTACAAAAAAAAAAAAAACTAAAAACATAAATATATTTTCTTTTTTACTTTGTAAGATTAAACTTTAAAAATCTTGATGTTGTGTTTTGATTTGCGTCAACTTTTTTTAATTAAAAAATAAAAATAAGAAAATCTATTATTAAGTCGTCAGCTTCGTACTTAAGAAGTTTCGAACTTACACTTGTAAAAGTTACTATTTGTATTCATGTTTTTGTACACAAATATTTAATAATTTTTAATTTTTAATAAATTTTTTTGATTTTAGCAAAATAAATATATAATATTTTTTAATATATTTTTTATATATTTCTTTGAATATATTTTTATATATATTTTTATATATTTTTAAATATTTTTCATTATTTTTATATATTTTTTATATATTTTATTATATAGTTTTTATATACACCGTTTTAAATTTTTTTTATGTATTTTGTATGTATATTTTTATATATTTTTTTACATATATTTTTGTATATATTTTTACATATTTTTAAATATTTTTATATATTTTATTATATAGTTTTTATATATTTTCTATACATTTCTTTTTATTTTTTTTATGTATTTTGTAATATATTTTTTATTTATATTTTTATGTATGTCCTAATGTATTTTTTATGCATTATTTTAAATAATTTTTTTAAAAAGTTTTTTATACTTTTTTATATATAGTTCTGGTATATTTTTTTTTAATTTTTTTATATATATTTTTTATAAATTATTTATGCAGTTTTTATATATATTTTCAAATATTTCTTTTGGTAGTTTTTATTTTTTTTTTTCATGTTATTTTAAATATTTTTTTATATATATTTTCATAAAAGTTTTTTATATTTTTTTATATATATTTTTAACATATGTGCTATATTTTTTTTTTATATATTTTTTACTTATTAAAATATTGTTGGTGAAAATAACATTATTATTTAAATGCTATCTACCATGAAAAGTTGTTTATATATTTATAAGCAGTAACTATTTTAACGGTAATATCATGGAAAATACTCCTAAGTTGAACCATAAAATCACCGTTCTAGTCTAAGATAACCCATTTAACCTGTTTTAAGCATCGTTGACCCTTAACTGGCCTATAAGACGACAAAGACTTAGATAGGTCTGCCGCAACAAACTCATGTCAGCGTTGAAGGAAAAGACACCGAAATATCTATTGTGTAACTGTCTAAAATTGTCTAGCTTCAGGATTTAGCTTATGGGTGTCCTATAACTCATTCCACCATATATATATTGAACATATAAATCGGCCAAATATTTCTAACTTCGTCAATTCGTTTGGGTGGCTTTGTAATGCTAGATCAACTCCCCAAAGTCACGAAGAATGTGGAATAAAAATATCTTTTTTAGGTAATTGAGTGAGGAGAAGTCAAACATCCTACCACTTCATGTACCTTTCTTCTTAAAATAAATGAAATTAAAAGATCTTGTAGTAGTTCCTTACTCATATTAATTGCTTTTAGTTTTTAATTCAACTGACATTATAGAAATTTATTTCCACTAAAATCAATAATGGTATATTAAGTAAATAGTAATTTATTTTTAAATGAAAAAAATTATTTACAAAATGTCATATGCCTTATAAGAAGTATCCGCCGTTTTTATCACTAGTTGGTGTTGTTACTCATATATATGGCAACACTAATCCGGTCACATCATATTTCAAGTTCCATATATGGGTATATATACCCATCGTTAGGCAATTGTGGCTACATAATTTTTGGACTGCAAGTGAAAGAACTTTGAACCGGTCTATTTGAAAATATTGAAACGCGCTTTTAAAGCAAACTAGTTAATACTTATGATATCACTTACGTTGTTCACTTTTATTAAAATTTTAATCTTAATTTAAAAACAAGTTAATTTTTAAAATAAAATTTCAATCTTATTTACATATTTTTGAAAAAACACCTAATAGGTCTTATTATAACTTTTTATTTCAAATTATATATCTTAAAAAAATGAATTATAAATATGTTAGAAGTCAAAAGTATATTTTTACATATAATAAAATTACAAAAGTCACTTTAGATTTTTTTTAATTTTTTACTTAATTTTAGTAATTAATAAAAGCCAGCAAACACTGTAGTAGTATCTTAAGCCAACAGAACACAATTTGAAAAGATTCTCAATGCTTCGTAAAGTTCAGTCTTCACCCTGTGTAGTTTCAATTCTTACTTGGAGTTAAGTTTTTGGTAGATAGCTATTTTTTTTTTTAATTTATGTAATATTAATATTATCTTTTTTTTTGTTTGTTAGTTTGACTTAACTTTTTTCGGAATTTTTTTATTGAATTTATTTTTTATATTATTGTAAATAAGTAAATATATTTTTTTACTGTATTTACAGGCATAAAAATAAGGAGTTTTCTAAGTTGTAAAGTGTTTTTGATAGTTGCATATATAAAAATATATGTATATAAATTATATATTTTAATATGAAACTTAATTTATAATTTCAAGACAATTTGCAGTATATAATGACTTTTTCTCATATAAGAAAAAACATTCTGATATTTTCAAAAATTCAGCAAACAAATTAATAAAAATATAAATCAAAGGGGAAATTAATATTATTTAACAAATGTTTGCTACGATTCCTTAACGGGATTTTTATTCAAAATCCTTTACTATACAATTTCGGTTCATTAGTTAAGAAAAAAAAAAGCAATCAATATATAAATTAATTCTTTTCTAATTTGTTTCTAGGCCACACATAGACAATAGACAATATGCGAAGTAATTTCGAACAATTTTGTGAATAAATAAATTATTAACTTAATTGTCTTATAAAGAAAAAATCGACACGCAAGAACGGTGTATACATTTTTTTGCTTAACCCATTCATAATTAACCAATGATTAATTAAATGGCAGCAAAGAAATGTTGGAAACGCCAGGGCTGTAATTTTGCACCATTAAATATTTAGTTTGTGTTAAGTAAAGTATGTAAATTGAAAACTAATACTAATAACAAAAATTAAACAAACAAAAAACAAAAAAAAATTAAAAAATTAAAAAATATATAAAACCAACTTATGTGTAGATTATGTGTAAGTGTACGTATTTAATCCAATATAAGGTAATTTCCCCACCACCAATCGTTACAAATGTCCAAGGCAACTTTTCCATTTAAGTACTTTTTTGCACAAATACACACACCAGTTTGAAGGAAAGTTGCAAGACACTTGCTCGATTATTTTTCTTACAAACTTTGGACATTTGGAGCACTTTTCCGTTTTGTTGACATATGAAAAAAAAATAGAAAAAAAAAATACATTAACATAAATTGAATATTCAAAATACAATTTTATTTCTTGGGCATTGAACTCACCTAAAAAGTTTTGCATGTGCACAAAATTCTTAATGCATGTTTCATATATACTAGAAACGTATATACAAGCTAACCGTGTTTTATATAATACAATCTGCATATATATATATATATAGTCGTATATATACTATAATTCATTTAAATTGGCACACATATGGAGTGGTACTCTTATGTTTGCCTTGTGATAAGAAATTTGTACGCTTACCATGTCATCGCCATTATCATCATCATAACCATCATTTCGCTACTATAATAACCAGTCTACTTAGTCTTTTCAAATGCATCAACTGAGCCTGTAAACACAAACGTTTTTTTTTGTTCAACTTTCAATTACTGTTAAACTTCTGTTAAATATTTTTATTTTTTTTTTATAATTTTACTTTTACTACTTTTATACTTTACCATTAAGTAGAATTTATGCTACTCTGCTGCACATTTATTTTAAATATTCAGTAGTTTCCTACTTTTTTTGTGGTAAACTTTTTGAGTGTAAATTGGGTTTCTGTGTAAAGTTGTTTAATTGTGGTGGTAGTAAAATTTCAAAGAGTATGGAAAAGGATTTATATGCTTAGGCAGAAAAGTAGGTGACCAACTGGCATATTTTTGAATAATCTTTTTTTTTAACATTTATTTCAATTAATTATTATTCATTATATTTTAAACTTAATTTAATGCACTTTTCAAACTTAATTGCAGTGGTTTGTTATTATAACTTAGCGCACTTATCAGAAACAAAAAAAAAAAAAATATAACACAAATAACTATATAAGCTAGAAATTTTTTTGAGTTTTTTTTAATAATATAAATTCTAGTTACTGAAGAGTATATAAGAAAATTATTTGTTACTGCCGTTTATTTTAAAACAAAAAGAAAATAAACTTATTTCTATGATATAAATGTGATAAAAGTAATATAGTGAAACCGAATAGAATATATAAAATGTTGTCTTATAGAAACTTTACACGTAATCAACATTAGGTTAGGTTACTCCGACCGTTCGACGCACTTACACCATGAGGTCTATTGTAATACCGTCAAGAATTTGATACCTGTCACTATAACCATTTAGTACTAGTCACAAAGTCATAGACACGAGCTAGGCAAATCGAATTTAGCTCTCCTAATGAATTAAAAAAGTGCGACCCTAAGTAGGAGAGTCTATGTCTTGAGGAAGTAAAACACTGTAACTGAAAGTAATTAATATTAACATGACAATGAAATCAAGAAGAATTATCATATTAACTGAGATGCAGAGTGATAAATAAAAGTGTACCCGATAAAGTTTAAATTACTATTCTAAAAACAATGTATCCAAACAAACTGAAAAGAAATTATATACAATGAACACTTTAATCAATATCAGCTTTAAACAGCTTAGACTGGTTTAAACTAAAAAGGAATTATATACAATGAACACTTCAATCAATATCCTGGAAACAAATTAACTAAATGTCTTAAGTCAGTTAAAATTAAAATGGAATTAATTCGATGACAAAATTTAGTAGTCAATGTCCCGAAAATAGTTTATACAAGTACCTTAAGTTGGTTAAAATTGAAATTGAATTATATCCGATAAAAACTTCCATCAATAGTCTGAATTTATTTTATCCTAGTAGCTTAATTAGGTTAAATGCAGTCAATGTTAGTCAATTCAGTCAATAAAATGGACGTGTATAACTTAATGAATCTTTCACATTTCTTAACTTAACTTACATTATAAGTTTTATAAGTTTTTTCTTTAAGTCATTGATGGTACATCCAATCACTGATTAAAATTCCAATAAAATTATATCCGATAAAAACTTCAATCAATATTTTGAAGATAGATCTTCCAAGTAGCTTAAATAGGTTATAATTGAAAGAAAATTATATTCGGTAAAAACTTTAGTCCTTTGAAATTGTTTATTCAAATAATTTAAGTAAGTTAAATTAAATTGAATTTTTAACAATTTAACATTTAACACATTTTTTAGCTCGCGTTGTAAGCTTTTTGTTTTCTTTCAAGTTATGACTGATAAAAAATTAGATCATATCTAATACCCTGATATCATATCAATATTCTGAAAATAGTTGTATCGCTCTTCCTAAACAAACATCTAAAGAACAGAAACTTAAACTTGCCCTGCATACAGTAACCAAATCTATAGAACACTTAAAAATAAAAATTTAACCTAGAAACATATGAGTTCATGTTAGAATTTTGTATTTACAGTTCAAGGACTTGCAATTTATATTAACAGTATTGAATTAATCTCAATACATTTTAATTTGTAATCTGACAGTTATATATATATGGTATACATGCTCTACAGCAAGCACCTAGCTCAGTCAGTGATACTCTTATTCTTCTGATTTTTCAGAATCATTTTTTGACTTCAATGTCAAGATCTATGGATCACAGATCACAGTAAAGATCCAGCTTACTTCTACAAATTTGAAAATTTTTTACTATACTTACATGATTAACAGGAATACTTACAGTGGTTTATATAGATCTGTTTATTTTAGGTAGTTACAAGATCTAAAATAATGTTGATAGGAAAGACCTTGACCAGTCAGTGATACTCATATCCTTATTTTTACTTTCAATGCTAAAATCTAAACAAATTTTAATAGTGAGAACCCGCCTACCAAAAATTTATAGCTCGATCTTTATCCTGTTAAATAAACAGGAATCCTAATAGTGAAGACCTACACTTATGACTTCATAGCCTGATTTTTGCTTACACATCCTTGCACAAAGTGATGTTATGAATTAATATTTTATTAATGATCCATAATTGATACATATTCTATATTTTAATAAAGAAAACATGCATCTATAGGCATAACAAAATGTTTTTTTTTTAATAAATCTTTTTAACTATATTTCATTTACTGCACCTTACTAGATATTTCCTTTGCACCCTTCACCAAAAAACCCACTTTTTTGGTAGCAAATTTCCCTAATAAAGAAGAAATCAACTCGGTTTAATATTAAAAACTCTTTTAAACCATAATTCTTCGTACTTCACTTTTTTTTTTAAATAACTTAATAAAATAGAAATAAAAATCTAAACGGCTTAGTGAACACTTAGTTTTCTATTATTTTTCACACAACAATAAATAATAATCAAATCTAATTTGCTAATAATCAAATCTGCACCACGTATATTAGAATTACAAGCTGCAAGTACTTAAACACACAAATCATTTATTTAATTATATTTTATTTAAAATAAAAATAGTTTTGTGTCTACTTAACTTAACTAAACGTATGCGATACTCTTTACATAACTATAAATATATATGCTTTACATATAATTTTGTGAACTATACGTGCTTCTTGTAATTAAAATCGACTTTTCACTTAATATATAATCGAGCCAATATATAAACGGTTCTTACGTATAATGCATAAAAATATAACTAAAACGTACCTTTATATACCTAAAAATAAACATATACTCGTTGCCATTACATATATATATTTATATATATATATATATATATTTACAATATATTTAGTTCCATTAGGTTTATGTAGTGAATTCGATTTTGAGTTTTATCTAGTAAATATATTTCATTAGCTGAGACAATACTGGGTCGACATAGTACCATGGATATACGTTCAATACATTTGGGTGGTCTATTTCATGCTGAAGAAGAAATTCAAATGACCTCTACAATGCCCAATTTCGTTGGTCAAATGCAAGGTTTCACTTTCAATGGAGAAAGGTTTGCTTTTTATCATATAATTAATAAATAAAAAATATTACAATGTATAACAAACCAATTTACATATGAAATAGATATATAGACATTGTGAAGAACCTTGGTCCAGAATTATCAGCATTGCCAAGCGCTACATTTAAATTGACCGCACGTTTTGTAAACTCACCACCGGGAAATCCTTACCATGCAGCAACATTTAGGTCCAAGCATTCGTACGTTGGTCTACCAATGCTAAAAGCATATTCAAGCATATCGGTAGACTTTCGTTTTAAAACTGTTGAACCCAATGGTTTGTTGCTATTTAACGGTGGACGACGTAATGACTTTGTCTCAATTGAACTCGTAAATGGTCACATACATTACACGTTCGATTTGGGCGATGGGCCAATCACAATGCGTGATAAGTCCCGTATACATATGAACGACAATCGTTGGCATCAAGTAAGCATAAGCAGACCAGGTCCTAAAACCCATACGCTCACTGTAGATGATTCGTTTGAAATCGTAACATTAACTGGCAATAGCATGCATTTGGAACTTGCCGGCATACTTTATATAGGTGGTGTTTTTAAGGATATGTATGCAAAACTACCGGCTTCGATATCCTCACGTTCCGGTTTTGAGGGTTGTTTAGCTTCTCTCGATTTAGGCGATACCTCACCATCGCTGACTAGTGATGCCGTAGTACCAAGTTCATTGGTGGTGACTGGTTGTGAAGGGCCTACAAAGTGTAGTCAGAATGCTTGCGCAAATAGGGGTGTCTGTGTACAACAGTGGAATGCTTATGCGTGCGAATGTGATATGACTTCCTACACTGGTCCTACTTGTTATGATGGTAATTATATAAAGAATTTTTTTTGGAGTAACATGTTTTAATTCAATACTACTACTTTATATATGGTATTTACATTATAATTTGTTATATATATGAAATATTTATTTTATTTTATAACAGAATCCATTGCTTATGAGTTTGGCAACAATAAAGGCATCATACAGTACACATTCCCTGAAAATACGCAAGCTGATACAGAAGAGGATAACCTAGCCTTGGGTTTTATCACCACAAAATCTGATGCTGTATTGTTACGCATCGAAAGCGCCACAACTCAAGACTATATGGAATTGGAAATAGTTGAAGGCAATATATTTATGGTTTATAATATAGGTACTCGGGACTTACCGCTGGGTGAAATTGGTACGAAAGTAAATGACAACACATATCATGTGGTACGCTTTACAAGAGTGGGTGGTAATGGCACATTACAATTAGATGATTATAATGTGCAAACATTAAGTCCACAGGGTAAGAGAAAGATTGTATTGCTATGATATTAAATAGAATCTCAAATTTATATTGTGTTATCAATAGGTCATCAATCAACTGTATTTAATACAATGGCAAATATACAAGTCGGTGGAAAGTTTAGTCGAACTGGTCGTAATCGTATTGATCGTCCTTTTGCTGGTGTTATAGCCGGTTTATCGGTGAACAAGTTACGCATATTGGACCTGGCTGTGGAGAGAGATCCACATATAACTATACGAGGAGATGTTCAATTGGTAACTGGAGTATTAGATAGAAATGATCTGCAAAGAATGCAGCAGGTTAGGGAATTTATTTTAAAATAATTTGAAATCTCTTCAATTTTCAAGTATCTTCATCGTAAAAGTTTCAAAAATCAATATTTAAAAAAAATTTATTTGCATATTATGAACCATGCTTAAAGCTTAGATTTTTGTCCTTCTTATAATTACAAATAGATTAGACATAAGAAAAAGCATATATCTATTTATATCAGTAAGAAACTGAAATTTTATTAAATTAATCTGCATTTTCTTCCAGAATGACAGTTCCTGGAATAGTTAGATAAGGTTATGTTATGTTAAGTTTAAAAGCTGTGTTTTAATGCAAATACATTTACTCGGAGACAACTATTGTCCTACGCCCTTAAAGTTCTCAGAAGGAGGTAAACTATATTAATTATTGTTTAGGGCTGGCTCTGCTCTAAAATCTGAATTCGCGCGTATTGAAGTATTTCTATGATATAATGAAATATAGTTTTAGATATCTTTAGATATCTAATCTCTTACATGCTTGAAAATATTTTATATTTAGCGCTCTTAGATATAGAGAATATTTAAAATATAAGATTTTGATATGAAAACATTATTGATATATAATCTATTAAAGTCAAATTGCATCAATTAAAAACAACCTTGCAAGACGTATTTTATAAATTGGCTTCATTTTGTTTTTCAATATAGTCTTCTTTCCAGTTAATGCTTTTGATCCAATAACTCTAACTTTTTCAAGCCGTCTAAATAATAATTTGTTTTTTTATTAGACGCTTTCTGCTAATAAACATATTTTCATTTAACGATTTATTCCGATTTGGAAATAAAAAAATATCACTTGGAGTTAAAAATAGAAACCAAGTGATGGGGAAGCAATTCGCTGTAAAATTGATGACATTTTTTCGTGGTGGCTTCAGTTTTATATACCCTTACGTTGTCGTAAAAAGAGCACTATTTTCTCCATATGGGGACGTTTTACTTTTGTGTACTGTGTAATGGTAATCCATATGATACCTCATGCATCAAAACTTTCTTTTTAACTTTACTATCTTTCTCTTCCTCAATGCTAGTTTACTCAATAGAGTCCCTTGGATTAACTATTCTTTTTATAAGGGATTAATAATTCGTTTTCAGTAATAAATCATGTATTTATTATACATCAATATCCCCAAATCTTGTTTTGAAATCGTTATATAGTCTTGCTTATGATCCACATCAACCAAATGCAATACTTATCTTATGTATAGGTTCTAAAGAATTATTCTCAATTATTTTCGCAAAAGATAAAACACCATATGATGTGGTTGTAGCCTCCATTGTCAATTAAAAAAAACAATATAGAGGCTTTTATTAACAATTGTTGACAGTTTGTATTAAAATCCCGACTTATTGAAATGCAATCAAATAGTAAATAGAAAATATTATATTATAACAACATCCTTGTAGAGGTAACGAGATAAATCAGTCTCAGAACTGACTAATCATACTGTATTTATTGAAGAGGGAGTAGCTGGTGTACTACAAAATATCAGCGCAAGATCTATGTGTCAAAACGTAGTTTAGCATCGGGATCCCCAAATATATTTTCTATATAAAATATTAAATTTCTATATAAAATATTTATTTTTTTTTTCTATAAAATATATATAATCTGATTTAGCTTCTTTTATTCTATTTGACAATAGCCTATTTGTCGGAATTTGATTAAACGTTGGAGTCTCTGATTATATATTATGTATAAAATATATTAAATCTAATGTAGTTTAACTATGTGGCTTTAATTAAATGTGACCTATTTATCAGAACCTAATCAATAGTCGGGTTTTCTAACTATAAAATCTATAAAGAATTTATTAAAATATTATAGATTGTGTAATGACTTATTAGTTGGAACCTATTTAATCTTCGAAGATTTCTAGAAATATTATCTATAAAAAATATATTAAATTTAATGTAGTTTATTTTCTTCTTCTCTTCTTCTTTGTTCCATTAACTCCCAGTGGAGCATAGGGCATCAATGTATTTTATCTAATTTTAATTAAATGTGGCCAATTCATCGAAACCTAATCAATCGACTGGGTTTCTGACTACAATATCTATAAAGAATACATTAAATTTAATATAGTTTATTCAAATTTAATTAAGTATGGCCTATTTGTTGGTATCTTATCAAACAGCCCGATTTTTGACTACATAATCTATAGAATATATATTAAATATAGTGTAGTTTGTCTAATTTAAATTAAAAGTGGCCTATTTGTCGGAACCTAATTAATCGTCAAGGTCCCTAAATATATTATATGTGAAGAATATTTTAAATTTAATATAGTTTGAATAGTTGTTCGCCGTTAATGGTCGTCGTGAGTCTTAGAATATAATATCAATAAAGGATATATTAAATCATATATAGTTTGCCTAGTTCTTATTAAGTATGGTTCATATAAATTTAAAATTAAATCATAAATTTAAACATTTTCGATAGTAAAATTTGTAAATAAGTGTACTTGCGCATTTTTTTCTTCCTATTTGTATATATATATGATTTTTAATAAAAATATTAGTTCTCAATAAATACTATTTTCAATTATATATAACATTTTAAAAATTAAAAAATCGTGAATATCGAAATAAATTAAAAATAAATACTTTTATACTAAAGAGATATAATAAAATATATTTTTGACAATAATTGTTTGAGAACTGATCCAATAAATAATACTAACTTGCTTATTGACTATTTTAACGCACTTTCTAACACATTTCTTTAATCACTATAATTAAATTAATTTATTGTATATTTGTTTTATTTATTAAAGTATTTTAATGCATAAAGGTGGATAACACAATTTGAATTTCGTTAACAACTGTGGCACATCTACCATATATAATATACTATATATTTTTATATATTATCTCGAAATGAAATTTTTTTTAATTTGTATGCACTCTTTTAATTAAAGCACATATTTTTTTACTGTATACTGCATGCACAATACATAAACATTAATACTCTTACATACATACAATATATATATTCATAAATAATCAGCACATATGCATATATAGCAAAGATTCTTAAGCATTTTATATTTTCTTGAAAAAATACAGACACCTGCCAGTGGTTATCCGGGTGCCATAGATGATCTTATATTCTCTGGAGCCGGTTCTGGTTGTCGTGGCGATGATGAAGATGAATGTACACCACCATTTGAATCGGGCAGTGGTGATGATCTGATAACTCCAGTTTATGTGCCACCTACCAAACAGACTACAACCTCACAAAATGTCAGTACTGATAAGAATAATAATGGCACCGAGCGGGCTTGTGATGACGAGGATTGTGTACATGGATCTGGAGACTACGGTGAGACAACTGAACAATTTACATCCACCAGTACAGCGAAGATAATAGGTAAGTTCGAAAACTAATAATTTTCAAAACGTCAGTGTTGTCATTTCATTGGCACGTCACTCATAACAATTGGTTTGTATTTTTAGTAAATTCTTTTTTAAATTATTAGCTGATATATATATATATTTAAAAAAATTTTAATAGATTTTTTTTATTTTATGAATATATATTTATTTTTTTTTTCGATATTTTACAATGTTTTTTTTAATAATTTATTTAAATTTGTTTTAAATAAAAGCTGAGTGGTTGAGGTTCTATATATGCTAAATATATGAAAAAAATGTAGAAGTATAGACAATTAGTCATATTTTTGATTATATATACTTTACATACATTGTGACCGAAAGATTTTCGGAAATTCTCATTTAAAATTCGCGCGCTGTATATTTTTCGATATTTTAAGTTTATGTAGTTTGGCAGCACTGTCCTTAATTACTATGCCAAAAATGAGCGCGATCTGTCAGGCAGTTCGTTTACGGCAGCTGTTGAAACCAGTTCACCTCAGTAGTGCGTTGCGAAAAAAACAATGGAAAAAAATATTGAACAAAGAGTTTGCATCAAATTTTGTTTTTCGAACGAAATTTCGTGTGCAGAATCGTTGCGAATGCTACAAAAGGCTTATGGGGAATCAGTTTTATCGAAAACTCAAGTTTATGAGTGGTACAAAGCCTTTCAGGACTGTCGTACGACCGTCGAAGACATGCCGCGTTCTGGACGACCTTCGACCTCTACCACCGACGAAAACATTGAAAAGGCAAAGGAAATCGTGTTCAAAAATCCTCATGTGAGTGTTAGAGAGATAGCACGAGAGCTAGGCATCGGTCGTGAGATGGCTCGTTTGATTTTGGTGGACAATTTGTGTATGCGACGTGTCAACGCCCGGCTTGTTCCGATTCACCTCAATTTGTTCAACATTATCAACGATTTTAAGGCCAAACATTCAATAAATACCATCGAACAGCCACCGTATTCACCTGATCTTGCACCGTGTGACTTTTTCCTGTTTCCCAACCTCAAATTACCACTCAGAGGAACGCGTTTTGAATCCATAGAAGACGTAAAACAGAATTCGCAGAGGGAACTCAAAGCCATACCGGAAAGCGCCTATAAAAAATTTTTTGATGATTGGAAGAAACGTTGGCATTTGTGTATCGCTTCTAATGGAGCATATTTTGAAGGAGATAAAATAAATATTGATGAAGATTAAGAATTTTGCGTTTTATTTAATTTATTCCGGAAACTTTTCGGTCACAATGTATGTAAGCATTAATCAAATTTCTTCAAGATTCATTTTCCCTAATACAAAAATTAAAATATATTTTTTTGCAAAAAATATACATAGTAGCTCTCTGATTTCATATAACTACATACACATATATTCCTATCTGAGGTTCCATCCTCTAACTAGCATGATAGTATACCTATTTCAAGTCACATTACTATGGTTCTTCAAGAGCCTGTGCTCATAGTTTTTCATTATCAGAGTATTATCTATAAATACGAACATATCAGTTTAATTTTAATGGCTCCTACTCCACTTGGAGTTACGTATTTATCACGCATATAATAAGGCAATTTAAAATAAATAGTATTCAGTTCTTCTATTTCAATATATCAGCCATATATAATATTTCCGTAATATAGTTGAATTTTATTATTATATACACTTATTACTACAAGCATACCTGTTACAGTCAGTATCTATAATAAACTGTTCCTCATTTTTAGTTGTTGTACATTAAAATAAAAATTTATTTTTTATACTTTCCCAGCTTTTTTATATGCCAAATATCTATTATATATAATATATTACATCTTGCGTTTGCTATTCATAGTTGAATTTAGAGCAGGTTGTCCTTGCGTTTTTATTATTAAAACCTGCCTATGGCTAAGTCGATACTTTAACTTGTGTATTCACCACATTACATTGAAACAACCTTCGTAATCATAAACATGTCCACGCCCATGGCCACTTCTAAACCAGTTTGTATTATGTTGCCATTATCTCTTTCAGAAAATGAACTCTTCATATTTCTGACTGTGCTCGCGCAATGGAAACTTATGTTCCATATAATGAATTTGTAGAAATCCACAGTGTTACAAAAAGAGAGAAAAAGAAAGAAAGAAAGAGAGAGAGAGAGAGAGAGAAAGAACTACAGGCAGCAGCAAATACAATGTAGAAAAGAGACTAAGACTCTGATATGAATCGAAATTGAATAGTTTAGAACTCAATGTACATATATATATTTTGCTAGCACCGATGTGTATGTGTGTTCCTCGATTATTGTGTGTAATAAGAATAAAGTACAATATATCAAATATTATATATCTAATAACAAAAATATGCAATGTAAATACTACAATATATAATGTTAATGTTTTTATGTTAATTTTTGATTTATTTTTATTAAAAAACTAATTACCTTCACAGGTATTGTACAGTTTATTGTGTATTCGTTAATTTGTGTTCACGTACAAAATTCAATAAAATTAATTAAATAAAAAATTTTAAAAATATTAAATGTGATAATATCAATTATTCTATTATTCTATATTGATTTCTTATTAATTAATGAACTTTCAATCACTCAAATGTTTTGTATTACGTTATAATCATGAATGAAAATTCCTTTTTTGCTATAGGAATTCTTTTTTATTATCAACTCAATCACTAATTACTTTGTTATGGTATTTCAGAAACCAATAATGAAATTATATCAACTACTGATGGTTCATCAAGACGTACTGAAGTTGCTGTTACTACAGAGCAACAACACACCACTAGCACTGCTGTTGCCAAAACAGAGTTGCAAACAAACACACCACGAGAGATAGCTACCACAACTAGCGGCACCATATATTCGCCACGTCAAACAACAACACAATTTTCCCCACCCACAACAACCACTCAACGTATAACAACAACCACAACTACAACAACTACAACCACACAAGCAACACCACCACCAGAAATACGTTCTACTGTCACAGAGCATGATACGACCACTTACGATATAGTACATGTTTTCAGTGGTGGAAACGGTGACAAGCATGGTGAAGATGAAAATTTAAATATTTATAATGGTGAACACACTTTGACACCGGATGAACGCCCACTACCGCCAGCTATACCACCATATGAACCAGAATCTGGTGTGCCACCGTATTATCCAGCCATACCGCCACCTCAACCACCATATGGCAATAATAATTATCGGCCAAAGGGTAAAGGTGGTCGCATTAACTCGATTGAAGAAGAACGTACTGCCATGATTATTGGAATTGTAGCTGGTATTTTAATAGCAGTCGTATTAGTTTTCATACTGGTGTTCTGGTTGAAATCTTATGGTGATCGTGGTTACAAACCAGAGAGTGAAAAAGCTACTGCATACGGTTCACACAATCCAAATGCAGCATTGCTGGGTTCTACTGGTTCAAAAGGTTCCTATCCACGTCAGAGTCATCATCAGCAGTCATCTCAACAATCACTGACCAATGGGCATAATATGGGTAGTAGTGGTGGTAACGGTAGCATGATGGGTAACATGGGCTATGGTGGTATGGGTACTAGTATGGCTGTTGGGAACGTAGATGGTCGACCACAAATGGCTGGTTTAGTGCAACCAAAGCCAAAGAAACGAGATTCAAAAGATGTCAAGGAGTGGTATGTGTAAATTGTAGATTTGACCGCTATATATAGGTCATGTACTATGTACTCTTAAACAAATAAGTCAAATTAGCAATAATTAAAAGTAAAGGATATGCAAATACTCGAGTTACATTTTAGGACAAATAACAGATATAGACAAATAGTTTTATTTAAAAAAACAAAAACAAATACAATAAAAAAATAATAAAATTATATAAATTATTATAACAAATATTTAATGTACAAACTAATACCAGTAAAATTCATTGTTTAATATTATTATTTTGAGAAACTTGATAATAAATAGCGGCAAGTTAACAGTTTCTTTGTGAAGTTGTATGTTGAATTGAGAGTTAAGAGTAATAACGAAAGTATGTTAGGTGGATAATATCGTAATAAATTAGTGAATTTATTTTTTTAGTAAATTAAATTTAATTAGTAAATTTAAATAATAACACTTAAATTAATGTAATAAAACTGATTTGCAAATCAACTGTTATAATTTAGCACAGTTCAATGCTTTTTTTAACATAAATAATAACCGTAGCTAATAGAGTGCTGCACTGTTCTACCAGAACAATGATTTCTTAAAAAATGTGTTTATTAAAATATCTCTATTAAAGCACTGTTAACAAAATTAGCTGCCTTACTAAAAACTGTTAACTAACATATTCAGTAACATGGTTTTTAAAACTTGCTTAAAGCTCGAATTCCCTAAACTATTTTAAACATTTATTATGCTTTATTTTAAAGTAAACGCAAATTTAGGAAAAATAGAGTAAGTCTCACGAAATTCAATAAAATAGTGTTATTCCTTAATGGAGCTGAATTAAGAGAATTTGACCTACTACTTAACATAAAGTAAATACATATAAACAATTTATTTTTTAAACACATAAATTAGGCGTGAAGTAGTGAAATTTCTAATCAATGAAATTTGTTGACTTGCTGCTTACAATTTTTCATTTTGTTCCAATCCTGTTAACAAAGTAATTTATAAATATATATAAAAATTAGTATGTATGCATATGTATACTGCATCCAACTCTTATGTACTACAATGTAAAACTATTTACAGCAACTATAAATAATATATATAGATATATAAATATTTATTGTATTCGAATATAAGTTAAATGTTAATAATATTTACAAAAAAAAAAAACAAGTTATATATACAATAAAAGTTTAGCTTAAGCTTTAATGAACCCGTTTGCCGTTTGTTTAACATTTATCCTGTAAACTAGAATACTAACTTTAACTTTCCTATACATTGCATTAATTTTTAGAAATTACAGATTTTACACATATAGTACTAGAAATAATTTAGTTCAATATTTAGTTATTATTAGATTTAGTTAAAAATGCCATAATAGACGTTTAGTTTTCTGTAATTACTAGAGAATATGTTAACATAAAATGGGTTTAACATTTCACTGTTTTAATAACAGAATTCACACAGTTTAATGTAAAATTTAACATATTCCATAAAAAATTTAAATTTAAATGCAAAATAAAATTTCTTATTTTTTTACATATTCTCAATACTAATCATTTCTTTGAAAAAAGTATAGATTAGTTGTCTTATAAATAAATGTACGCTCATTCCGTTTAATATTAATTAATTTGTAGCTGTGAACTTATATTCCTTAATTCTGTTATAAATAGTCAAACGGTAAACAGCAAAGCAAACAATACTAAATAGAAAATATATTAATTATAACAAAAAACCATATATATATATATACAAATAAATTATTAAAATATATATTTAAATATAGATAATAATTAATTATAATTAAATTTTGTTGGTTGCAGTAATAAATGACTGTGACGTGTAAAGATAAAATGTGGTGCTGTAATGTATTGTATTAGTCCCTTGTTTTTAATTTAAGTACTGTTACAGTTTAAATTTAATATACAACTTAATATAAATAATTTTTTATTGGTAATTTATTAAGAAATGTAAAAATTGAAAAAATTATTTCTTTACATCCTATATAATTTTAGCATAAAATTAGTTTTAATAATGCTTTTATCACCTATTATTTATTTATTTGTTTATTTAATTACTTGTATATTACTTTCTTAAAATTCGAACATATTTTCAAATTTTAATTATTTTTAATATTAGTCTTTGTCTTGTGTTATTAAATTTGTGTGAACTTTAAATATGTGCATTATAATCTTATTTAATAAATATTTATTATTATTTGTTTAAATGAAAAACTCGATTTAAATTTATTCATTATGATTTATAAAAGAGTAGATTAATTATAATTTATTATTAAAATAATTTATAACAAAAAGAAATGTTTATTCTTATAATTATATTTAAATTTATAATTAATTTAATTAATTAATTTGTAAGCAAAAACACTTCATAAAAATTGTTTCGTCATAAAATAATAAATATTTTATTAAATTTTTTAAAATAATTGTTAAAGTATTTTACGTACTGCATAATTTAAATATTTATTTTTAAATTTATAATTTGTTTATAAATACGAACTATATTCATAATTACGAATATAAAACTATTTTTATTTACTTATTAAAATATATATTTAAAATGACCAATTATGATATAAACTTATAATTATTAATTATAAATTATTTATAATTATTAATTATACATGATTTTTAATGGCTAATATATATTTTATTATATTGTAATAATAACTTTAATTCAATTTATTTGATTCAATTATAATTATAAGCATATTAAGTGACGAACTATTATTTATTTTAATTTTTGTTTACAAATTTATATTTGTATAATACAAAATAGTTTTTAAATTAATAAATAATTTCATAACCTAAAAATTAATTTTTTTGTTTAAGTATTTATAATTTAAAATTAAATTGAAATAAAAATTTATATTAGTAATTAATTAAATTCAAACTTGTCAAAGTTTATTTTTAATATTTATTTTTTATTGAAAATTTGTATCAATTTAAACTTAATTAATTTTGATTTTGTTTATTGATTAAGAGTCCTTTTTAAAAAATGCACATAAATTTATTTATATTAATAATGTTTTTTTTGTATCTACATTTGTATAGTCTTCAATATATAAAAAATATTTATTTTTATCTGCTATTCTGTATAATTGAATTTTTTTTTTAAGCCAATAAAATATTTTTAATAATGAATAAATTTATTGCAGCTGAGAGTTAAAACTCAAAGACTAAATCAAAATGTTTTTGATATATATTTATGTAATGTATTATTTTTAAAAATATTGCTAATATCATTTTTTGTGTATGTATTATGCACTTTATTTGATGTGAAAGACTAGTTATGTGCATATATAAATGCCATACATGTATGTGCATATTTTTACCGTCATATCAATACAAAATTTAAGTAAGTGACTATATTAAATATATATAATATTTGCTTTTTTCATAATATTTGTATTGAAATGACTTTTTAATTTCTATAGACTTATATATAAAAATTGAACATATCAAATGCGCAAGAGCACACTGAACAAACATTTTTTAATTTATATTTTTAAATTCCTTCCAATCTTATTATAAATTTAATATATATTATAAGTTAAAGTAGAAAGAAGCGTGTGCAAAATGTTAAATATTTTTTTTTAATTTTTAGTAACAAAATTGTAACAATTTTCCAATTTGTTTAATACCACATTAAAAGACTTTATCTTTTATGATTTTAAAATTAACAGAATTTTATACAAAACTAAATTTTATTATTAATTTTTTTTTATAATACACCTACTAAATACTTTTAAAATCTAATCGACATATATAATATTCAATCTAATTGATATTGTAGTATTATTTTGTTTTCAATGCATTTAACTATTCTTTAATTTATTTAAATTGTTAACACCATTCAGTTTTCTATGCTGTTTTTTATTTTAAATAAATTTAAAATTAAATTTATTTATTTTTTTAATTAAAAATAAACTTTTTATTTTTTATTTTAATCTATTAAAATACTTTAAAGATTTTTATTTATTACTTAATTTATTTTCGAATTTTTCTAATATGGGAACACTATTTTATTTTTTATGCTTTTATTGTTAACTCAACAAAAAATTATTTCTTTTTTAATAAAACAGAACTTTTTGATTTTTTTAATAGCTTAATAAATGAATAAGAATTTTTGTATTTTTTCCTCATCTAATATTTTATTTATTTAAGATGGCAAAATTATTCTGTTTTAAGCTTTTAAACTCAACAACAATTCCGAATAAAATTATCATTATTTTTTTAATTAAAGTGAACTTTGTGATTTTTTTTAATAACAAACTTAATAAAATATTTCTCCTTAAACTATTCTCACCATTTTATTTTCTAATTTTATTCTTCAATATATTTAAGATGGTAATACCATTTTATTTTCTATGCTATTAAATTTAACTCAAAATTTTAAATAAAATTTATTTAACTATTTTAATTAAAATTAAACTGTTTAACTTTTCACAAAAATAAAAAAAGAAAACTTTAATAAATTTTCTATTTGTTCAGTCAATCAATATCATTTTGAATATACATCTATATATATACATATATATAAAAATATACATATAACTTATTATAAAATTGATCTTTTATATATAAAGTTTTTTTGCACTGTAATGTACTTTTACACCGAATTTTTTCTCTTGTAAGCTCTACACAATCTACAATCTACTTTTAATTATTAATGCTGTAATTTGTATTATTTTTTTTATCAATTAAAATCTATTGTAATAAAATAAATAAGCAGAAAGAAAGAAATCAAATATATGTATTAACAGAACAACAAAAATTTATATTTAAATTCTTATAATAATTATGATTAGGAGAAATTTCAAATAATATTTATATTCGATACCCACAATGTTAATGCTGCACAAGGAACTTTTTGCATTTAATCGTTATTTTTGGTCTTTGAATCTTTAAATACAAAATACATTTATATATACGTACATACATATATATATATGCACTTCTTGAAAACATTTCGAAAGAATAATGTATTGATCTATTTTAAACAAAAACAAAAACAAAAACAAGCAAAAAACAAAAATGAATTATTATGTACTATATTTAAATTTATGTTAGTTAAAATTGATAAATATTGAACATTTTCAACATTAAAATCAGTACTACTTTAATATATATAGGCTTAAAAACTTAAACCAATAATATTGTTATTAATTAAAAATAAATATAAAAATAAATATATATATATATAAAAATAAATATATAAATATATAGAGATTAAAATTATTAAGAAATGCATAATACAATAATAAATATATACATACATAGTTTATATATAAATATATATAATACTAATACTACCATATAAAGCAAATATGTATGTAGCGGCAGTGATTGTTAAATGCTTTGTTTGTGTTAGGTTTTATAATTATGTATAATTTATTATAAACAAAACAAATATGAAAAAAATATAAAAATAAAAGAATGACTGATAAATCACAAAAATAAAAATGTATATAAATATGTAATACAAATTATTTGAAAAATCTGTTATGAGTTATTTAACATCACATTATATTAAGGGTATTCACACTCTGTCCTGTAAACTAATTGCGAGGTTGCACGAGCTTGCCATCTTGCTATTCTTTAACCCATGCATGTATGCTTGCAACGAAATAAAAAAGAAAAAAACAATTGTTTTGACATCTGTTGCTTCTCATGTGGATGTGGTATACTGCAAAAACAGCTGTTTCATTATGATGTTGCTATACTGCAACAGAGGTGTTTTCACACTCTTGCATTCCTATATTGTGCATCTTGCAATGAGTTTGCAAGACACAGTGAATACCCCTTTTATGATATTTTAATATTGCAAATGTGTATACAGAGGCTTTTAGTCGTATGAGAAATTATCTTATGCCGTTTTCGATTGACAAATCTTGGGTAACTTATTCAATCGATATTCACTTTTAGTGCAATTTTTAGTTTCGACTGGCAAATCTCGAACAAAATATATATTACTTTTGATTAAAGTGTTATATACTCTAGATATTTTGTCAAAATAGTAACATTACTCTGCAATTAACAGCTATTTTACATGATTTGGCAGGTAAAGTCTGATTTAATTCGACATATATATGTTTTTGTGAAAAATATAAAGGCCTACGCAATCACAAAAATGTTCGATTACTCTAAAAACAATCGATTGGGCAAAAAATTTAACAGATTGAGAGTAAATACAGATCGATTTCAGATTTACCAATCGAAAACGTCATTAGTTTAGTTGCCACATGTTGTGAAGTTAACTGACATTGGTATTGTCTATGTAACATAGTTGTCTTAAAGTCGGCTTTGTTTTTTTTTAAAGAATATTAGATTTTTCGAGCGTTAATTTTATTTATATTTCTATACGTACTACAATAAATTCACTTCTGCCTTCATCAGGAGAATTTCTAATATTCGTTGTCTTGTGAACAATTTTTGGGGCTGTTAAATAACATTAGCACTGTTTGTTATTGATATTGTTCTACTGTTAGCTTAAGTTAACAATTATTGGTTAACTCGTATTTGTATTGTTTTATTCAACATTGTTATGCTGTTAATTAATGTTATTTATTTTTGGTGCTGTTAACTAGTACTAGTATTGTTTTCTATTCAATATAGTTGTGCTGGAAGCTAATGTTAGCAATTATTTGAATCTGTTGACTAGTACTGGCTTATTTTTATAAACCACATTGCATTAGTTTTTTTAACATTATAATACTATTAGCTAATGTAAGTTGTTTTTGGTGCTGTTAACTAGTACTGGCATTGTTTTTTATTGCCATTGTTTCCTTTCTAACATTGTTGTGCTCATAGCCACACTTTTAGTTTTCAATTTTAATGTGGACAATTATTTTATTACATCGTGTTGAGGATATTTTTGAATGTAAAATGTTTCTGAATGAACGTAGGATGAAATAGGATACTAATGTGAAATCGCCTCCCACTGTAATAAAGAATATTTCTCGCGGAGCACTTTCATTTTAATATCATCATAGGAAGTAAGGAATAAAAGGAATATTCTGTAGTAAGTATTCATATTTCTTCTTTAATATATTTTGATTTTCTAGTTAGTTAAAGACCAATATTGTATTTAGTGCAATATATACAATTCACAACATTTATAAAATTTGTTAAATTATAATTTTTATAAAGTTTGAATATTGTATGCCATATATTTATCTCTGATTGGAAGAAAGATGGTGGGTTAATCGTTTAATGTAGTATTTTAATGACGACGTTTAAAAATTTAACAAATGAAAATATGTAAAAGTCTTATTATTTTAAAATTCTATTAATTAATGGATACCAGCTAATAACTTTTTAAAATACAATTTTTCAATGAAGAAAGTAATGTGCTGTACAATCATATGTTATCTGTCATATATGTATCTGTAATTTGTATGCAAAAGTATAAGAATGAGAATATTCGAGACAATAACAATAATATGCATACCTGACTCTATAAAAAGCAATTACTTTATGTCGGTTACTCTTTTCTTCTACAACACTAAGCAACTGATTGTTATTTGCTTGCACTGATAAGAAAGCAAACACTTGCAATTTAATGATTACAATGATCGTTGCATGCGTTAAATTTTTGAGGTCACCGCGGACTACATTCGTCAGTTAGTGAGATTAGCAAACTATTAAAATGCAGTTCATACCAACAGGTTCGGAATAGGAATTATATATAATTTTATTTTCATCAATTATTAAAACCACTTGCAGAACATTCGCACCGGAGGCTTAATCCTTTGACTGGACAATGGATATTAGTATGTCCACATCGCATGTTACGTCCTTGGGCAGGACAAGAGGAAACGCCACAAAAATATGATTTACCAGACTTTGATCCCACCAATCCACTGTGTCCCGGTGTGACTCGTCCGAATGGAATTGTATATATAATTAGTTTTTGCAATTCTTTTAGTTTTATGTGAATTTTATTACTTTCAGCAAAATCCTAATTATACCAGTACATTTGTTTTTACAAATGATTTTCCAGCACTATTGGAAAATGTACCAGAACCGCAACCAGTTGCTGATCCACTTTTTCAAGTAGCACCTGCACGTGGTACTTGCCGTGTGCTCTGTTTTCATCCGAAATCGAATTTAACTTTGCCACAAATGAATGTTGGTGATATTAAAAACGTCATTAATGAGTAAATAGAATTTATAGTAGAGTTGCACAAAAAACTAAATTATACTAATTAACTCTTTTTAGATGGATTACACAATATAATGAACTATGCATGCAATATAAGTGGGTGCAAATATTTGAAAATAAAGGTGCCTCAATGGGTTGTTCAAACCCTCATCCGCATTGTCAAATTTGGGCATGTTCATTTATGCCTTCCGAACCGCTTATGAAGCATGAAAAACTAAGAAGTTACTATGAACAACATGGACGACCACTTTTAGATGATTATGCTAAACGTGAATTGGAAAAGAATGAAAGAGTGGTTATAGAGAACCCAGATTGGTTAGTTGTTGTGCCTTACTGGGCTGCTTGGCCATTTGAAACTATGATAATAAGTCGCAATCAAAACAAACGACTTAACGATTTAACAGCATCCCAAAGAGAAAATTTAGCACGCACTATGAAAGAAATCACGACTAAATATGATAACTTATTTAAGTGTTCGTTTCCCTATTCGATGGGTTTTCATGGTGCACCTACTGCTGATGAAGAACAAAAAGATAATTCTCATTGGACATTGCATGCCTTATACTATCCACCTTTATTGCGATCGGCTACAGTACGCAAATTTATGGTTGGGTTTGAGTTACTAAATGAGCCACAGCGTGACTTAACACCAGAGCAAGCAGCTCAACGGTTGAGGCAAACTGATGGACAAAAGCATTACCTGCAATGATGTGATCATGTCTCAAATCACTGAATTTTTAAAACCAAAGAAAAAATGTTAAACAAAATTTAAATCGAAATAACGCAAAAGTGTGGTGAAACCTAATAATCAAAGTAAATTTTATGAAATAAAATTAAAGGAGTTATAGAGTTAATTAGTACTTTTTATAGATGTAATTAGTTCTGTTTTTAAAATTTTGTGTTTATGTATTTTGGAAAGTTTTAAACAATAAATTAATTATAAATACAAAATTTATGCGTCTGCTTCACACCAAAATGAAATAAAATAATTTAAGCAATAACTTTAATATATCACATCACTACATTTTACTTGTCCTCTATAAATTTGTTTTGATTAAATATACATAAATACATTATTACACAAATACATAAATACTTTATTAAATACGAACATTAATGCTGTAAAACAGTCTAAACATTAACAACCAACTTGATACTAATTAATATAATAGTACACTTAAGCCGTATTGAGTACATTTATAATCGAATAAGCCACAGAAGCCAACAATCAATAACAAGAAAATATTATAGACAACATCAGTAAGTTTTTGTGCCTGCATTCAATGCTGCACTGGAACGCATAGACAAAAATTTAAAATTTTTTCATAACAGCACGATTTTCTAGAGCCTGCATTTCACTTAATAGCAATGCAACATTGTAACGTAACCGATGGAACATGGCGAGAGGAAGTTCCAATGTACGATACTTTCCATCTGGCAACTGGAAATGCAGTATAATTGTTGGAGCATTACTCTGAATTATGCTACAATGATTTAGAAATTAATTTTATACCATTTTAATATGAATTATAAATTACAAACCCTTCATGCAATGAAATATTAATACGCCATTGAAGATTCTTAGCAGTGGACCGTGACAGTTTAGCTACAGCAAAATTTTTAGTCAACGAGGTACGATGGTTATGCAGCACTTTACTTAGATCGTCCACACATTCTTCCGTGAATTTCAGTTCTTTCAGACAGTCACGTAACTCATGCTCTTTGATGTGTCCTTTAGGTGTACGCAAAAATATTTGCATTATCTGTAATACTGCAGCAAAGAGTTCACAAAAGTTTTCAGGTATTTTGTTGCCGGAATGAGTTAGTTTATTCAACGCCAGATCAAGTACTTCGGGTGTGCATTTTCTTTCCTCTATGTAATGGACAGACACTTGTATCAGCACACGCAGCACAGGTTTTGTCAACTGTGGTATATATTTTATATATGGGCGTATTGTTCGATTAACAGTATATTTAAAATTACTCGACATTATTTAGTTTGTTTTTATTTCCAAAGTGAAAAAATTTGTTTGTTGTGTTGTTTTGTATTGAAACTATAGTGACGCAGTAGGTATTTGTGGTTACCAAAATGATTAATTGAGTAATCAGAATAAGAATGTTGCCACACTTGCAGTTCAGTGAATTTGTTATATTTTTTATAACAGATATAACGCAGCGACTCAATTAGATATTTTTATATATACTTTTTATAATATTAAATCATATATATAAAACAATTTTATAGTATAATATGAAATACTTGAAAAATATGTTGTTTGTTTGTTGATACACTCCTCTCCATTAAATAAGAATGTCATTTCATACTGCCGAAAGATTAACCTTGTGCTAAGTGAGATATACCTCACTCCTTTAGTATTATTTTACCGAATTTTATTAATATTTTCAACAATCGCAGAAAAAAAAATAACTATTACAGACAATCTTCACCGCCTTTAGTTTTATTCAATTTATCATTAATGTTTTTGCATTTAAACATTAAGAAAATTTTTTTGAAGTTTGTGTCTCAAATTCAAATTTTTAGAATGCAGAAATCCAGAAATAACATAAAATTCAATTATAAAACGGATGTACAAAACTGCCCTCAAGTATAAAAAAAATCTTTTAATAAATCAAGAACAAGATAAATAGATTTTACTATCTAGCAAGAACATACTTCCTTCCTACCCTCCTTTGTTTTCAGTTTTGGCTTAAATATATTTGTTGTCTAAATATTCGAATGTCTGCGTTTTCTATGATTACTGTCTTGACGGTCCAATGGCCGAAATTTGTTCATTTTGCATTCCTAAGAGGTTGTTTTAGTGGGTGAGTTCAACTCTCATACTGAGCTTTTTCACATTATGACTATGTGGCATGCTTTACGGAAAAAAATAAAAAAAAGAAATATATATAATTCCTGTATAGTTTGATTGTAATTATATTAAATATATAAATTATTTATATGTATATTATATATGTATATTTATATGTATTTATTTACACATATTTTAATTTTAGATTTCTTGTATACATAAAATGTTGCTATATTATAAAAATTTGTATTATAATAGTACCTTGAAAATGACTATAGAGTATAGCCGACTATAGAGTATAACTATATATTACAAATAATTATTTATTTTTTACAAATAATTTAAAAAGGTATGTTTTATTTAAACAATAAAATTGTTAATTAAAATTAAATAATAACACATATAAAAAGTATAAATATTTTGTAAATGACTAGAATTTTTTAATCTTGAAAGAGATGTACAACATACAACGTACGAAATAAAATAAAAAATTTAAAACAAAATTGCAATAAAATGAATATATAAAATATATTTTTATATAATAAAACATATTTTTTTTAAAATTAGTGTAAAAAAGTTGTGTATTATTTCAACAATAAAATGAATATATAAAATATATTTTTATATAATAAATATTATTTTTGGACCTTTTTTATTTTAACTAGATTTAATTATAATTTATATATAATTATAATAATATAATTAAAATTTTATATATTTTAACAAAAAATACTATTACTTATTAACAATTTAAGTATTAAATAACCGACCTTAATTCCAGTTAAAATAAAATATATATAAAAATGAATAAATAAAATCAATATATCTACATAAATACAAGAACTTATTTCTTACTTGTTAGTGTATATAAGATATATAATATAAGAAAAGAACCTGTTAATAAATTCGGAGTAAGAATTATTTTCTTATTTAAAGTGTAAACGTAGCCTAATTTAACATTTTTATAATCACAAAAACAGTTGCAGACAAATTGTTTACTCATTTTCTCACCATACATTCTCCCTCTCTTCCAACTATCAATCGCTCTCAAGTATCTCGACTGAGTAACCGTTTTTTGTGTTGTCTTGCATCCAACAGATGCAGGTACATTGTTGTTTGGTTCTTCTTGTGTGCTGTTTTGAATTCTTAGCTGTTGAGACGGGTTTTCGTTTCAGTCAGTTGTTTGTGAACCGTCGTCGTGTTTGTGTTGAATTGTAAACTTGTTCCGTTGGTGCGTTGAGGGTGTGTGTTTTTGGAATAAAATATATATATATAGATATATGCCTAAGTACACTGCAAAACATATTTATATGTATGGAATATAGATTTTTCAGTACTAAACGTTTGTGAATGGGATAGATTTAAATTTGATTTATTGATCGCTGTTGTGACAAAATTTTTGCAAATTCTATGTTATGAAAAATCAAAATAAACAATTTAATTAATTTATAAAAATTAATTAATAAACGGGTATTTATTATGGTACTTTAAAGTCGAATTAAGTTGCGTAATTTTATTATTTTTTTTTTCAAATATTTGCACTAACAATTTATGGCTTAAATTAAGTCAGTGTACGTAAAGCGCTTAATTAAATAATTAATGGAAGAGAAACGATTAAATAAGGCTCGCAGGAAGTGTTATGTGCGTGTGACATAACGGCGAAAAACGTTAAAAACCTAACGAGTGAACATTTTTTATAACTGCACTGTGTAACCTTCAAACCTCGTAACCGTCTTGAAGCCCCACTGCTGCAGGAAGGAAGTTCTTTTTTGTTGTTGTTGCTATTGTTTTTGGTTTTGGGTGATTTGTGCAATTTGTATCGATTTAATTTAATATCTTTTGATTTCGCTCAACGGTGGCAGGGATTGATATACCCTGCAGGGTGGCTTATTGACTTCCAACCAATCTTACCATTAGTTAAGTGGGGTTTTTCTTGCTACTTTATTAGAGTCAGAGTCTCTCGGTATGCTTACATAAGAGGGTGTCCAACCCCCATAATAAATTTGGTAGACTGCACATTTAAACAAAATAACTCATTTAATATGGAAATTGGATTTTCTTTTTTTTTGGTTTTTTTTTGTGATTAGATTCTTATTTTTGTTGATTGTATAATATATTTTGCAGATAAATTGGTGACCCTCACTTTGTTTGAAGACACACAAAACTAGTCACATACATAAATTGTGTACGAAAAATAATATATTAATACATCGGCTTCATACAGTCTACAGTTCCCCCTCTCAGTCATAATAAATATTCGTATTATTATTTTTGCGTATACAAAACATTGTGCAAATGTTTTTTCATAAGTGCACCACCAGTGCGGCGGTGGTGTCGCGGCTGCAGGCACTTCTTGTGTTGTGCATAGCGCTGCCAACACTTGCTCACTCGACCATTTTGGAAAAGTTAAGAGATGATCCGGATCTATCACAGGTAAGTCGAGTTATGTCAAAACAATTATTCCTATTGTTAATCCCATTTTCTACCGATTTTTTTTTTATTTTTGTTTTACTTTTCTGTTGACGTAGACACTTTGCCATACTTTATGACCCAATTTCTTAGTAGAGGACACAACCAAAAAAAATATTCCATATCGCCCTTGAATTATTATCCTTGCAAGCTGCAAGGCATCAATTGACGTAGTGAATGAATGCACTTTTTATATGTGCATATATATTTTTGTTTTTTTTTTGTTTTCTCTACTGCTAATGCTGTGTGGCAACAAGCAAATTGCAACGCCTTGTTTGGTAGCAGATTTGCTGTGGCATTTATAACGCCAGCTGCCAACCTTGACCTTTCGACATATACTCGTTACTCGTCGTTTTAAAACTGAAGAAGAAAATCGATATTTAAAATATTAATAAAGTAAAAGATTTTATATTTAGTTTTTAGCAAAAAAAAAAAAAAAATTCTATACAAAAACTTTTCACAGTTTTCACAACTGTGAACTTCAAACAAAGCAAAGCAAAGTAAAGTTAAGCAAAGCTCAGTAGCAGCAGCACACACTTTCCGCTTATATGGCGACCCTACGACACTCGCTGACTCATGCGGCTTTGATGCACACACTCGCTGTTCTCATACGTGAAAAAACAACAACAACAATAACAACTCTATACGAAAACTTTATTTTTTATTCAAATGTTGAATAAAAATTATGCAAATCAGCAGCTACGTCGCTACACCACTACACCGCTACACCTTTCTTCCGCGCTCACCTTGTTGGCCAATGTTTGTAGCGCTTTTCTATTTCTGCCTTTGCCTCCACCACTGCTTCGGTTTCAGTTTTGGTCTTGGTCTTGGTTTTTGTTCTGTTTGTTGACTCGCTACCGAGATGCGCACATACAAAGGCACTGCTTTTGTTCAAGCTACCATAACATTTTATTTATTTAGGTTTATTTGTTTGTTGTTGTTGTTACTGGTTTTGTTGTTTTAACTTTTACACCTCGGCCATTATGTTACATGTAACTTTTCTATTACAGTTGCTATTGCTGGTGTTGTTTTTGTTTTTGTTTTTTTCTCTACATTTCTACTACATATTTTTTTTTTTTTTTGTTTTTTATGGGCTTAAATTAACAAAACCGTTCTAGTCTGTTTAGCAAGTAATGCCAAAATTTCTAACATTTCCACACGTTTCACAACGAATTGAGTGACAAATGCATTTGCCTGGCTGGAAATCCGCAAAGTAAAAGTCACGTACAATAATAAAAGCAGTAGAAGTGACGAACGAAATGAACGAAATCATAAACGGGACGGGACCCTTTCGAATATGTTCACAACTGGTTAAGCTATTAAATTTCAAAGTACCTGTACAATATACACTATCCACCATACACTGTATGCGTATAGATACATTGATACATGGCAAGAGAGTAATAATGCCATAAGTATTTAACGGATTCATGGAAGAAATATTCATGAAAACTGGCACGATGTTGTCAACGCATTTGTTTGTTGTTGTCGTCGACGTTGTTGTTGTTGTTATTGTTGTAGGTGAGGGAATGTAAGCTGCGCTCAAGTAATTATGCCGTTCCTTAAATGAACATCGAACTGTTTGCATTTCTTCAACACAACAATAACACACAAAACAAAACAAAAAAAGAACAAAAACAACAACACAAGAAATAAGATACTTTACCATGAACTACAATTAAGTGAGGTTTGGTTATGTAAATTCCTTTGAATACGAGTACTTGAAATGATAATTGGAATCGCCGAAGTCTTTTGAATTTATTCAACCAAAAATTGTTTAAAAAAAAATTGTAAATTGAAGATTAGAAATTTTATATTTTTTTATAAAATAATCTAGACTAAATTCAAAATGGCTTAGAATATTAAAAATTGAGTCCTCAATACTAAAAATTTATAAAACATCTGTCATCACAAAAATATTGCAATGATAACGTCATATCTTTAAATAATTTAAAAACAAAATATTTAACTTTAAAATTTTTATAAACAAAAAGTCCATACAGTAATTGTGGAATAAAAAACAGTTCTCTAAATATTAACATTGCAAATACATAATATTAAATACAATAGCTTTTTTTAAAATAAGTTAAGTAAATGCGCTTATTATTAAGTTTAAATATAGACATTTTAACGTGCGTTAGTATCATAACAGAATATTAACAGGTCTGTTTGGTGTAACAGAAAACTGTTACTCCTTTAAAGTATGAAAGTTGGATCTGTTGAAGAATAAAAAGCCGGGAGTTTCTCTCAGCACCTGCTGTTAAAATATTCTTACTGAAATACATTCTGATTTTTATTCGAAGGGTTGAGGATTTTCTGTTCAGTAAATGAGCTGAGAATTAATTGCTAACACCTAAAATCTATTATAATTACAGTGTTCCGCTACACTGGAAACCAAAAATCTAGTATTTTTCTAGATTCTAATGTATTCTAAAAATATATAGTCCAAAAATGTTTCCCCAATTGTAAAAATCTAAATATATATTTTAGTATATTGCAACATAGATTGATAGATACAAGTAATAACAGTTGTAAATTGTGACAGTAAATTGCAATTAAATTTGATCGGTGTAAAGAATAATATTTAAACTATATGTGTATTAAAAATAGTCTTTAACATCAAATACTAATTATTATATATATGCAATGTACGTACTTTTCCCACATTTTATTCGAAAGACGGAGGGTGTGTTCTATTTGATTAGGATCAGTCGTAAGCACAAAAATTATATTAGTCTCGCAGTATTCCGAACCACTGAAAACTCAAAAATCTGCTATTTTAAATTATATTCTAAAAAAGTATTATGGAAAACTGTTTCTTCAGTTGCAAATTAATTAACGTCAATAATGAGCACAAAACATTTGTTGTTATTTTTATTCTATTCTAAATAACTATGTCGTCGAGAACTATTTTCTGAATTGTAAAAATCTGAACACGACTTCCAGTTTACTGGAACATAGATTGATAGATGTCAGCAAAAAATTAGGCTAGGTTAGATTTGTATCCAAATCTACTTATCCTCAAATAATGGCCCATTGTGCAGACGTGAGCAATAACAAACTGTATACGTATGTTAAATAACCCATCCTAAATATCAACAAATATAGCATCACTTTAGACTAATGAGGAATATATACCATAAAAACCTCTTACATTCGTATTACGGCTCTTACTACGAAATTTAATTTTTTGTACAGTATTTTTATAAATGTTTGATATATGAAGATTTTTATGACAGTATTAGTAAAAACTTCTATCAAGGTGTTCTTTACATTATATTAACTACTTTTAAGTACAAGTACACATATTTAAATTAACTTAAAAATTTTTAAATATATATTTTAATATAAAGTATATATACCATAAATGTATATAATATAGTTAAGGATATATAAATAAAATATATTTATATAACATATATAAATATAACATATATAAATATAACATATATAAATAAATATTTAAATATGTGTTTTTATATATATATATACAATTATATATACAATTTTATTATGGATATATTTTTGTACTTATTTATGTACATATTTATGTAAAATATATTTAAATAATTTTAATACTTTTGTATATATAAATGATATACTAAATGTATATAATTTATTTGTTAAAACTTATGACCGAACATTAGTTTCAGTGATATCAGCTGAATGTATAGGTATTATATTGATTGGTACAAAGTTTACTAATAGTCAATCATCCTTTCCGGCGGTTTTATGTGCATTCCGACAGCTCGTCACTATTCTTTCAAATCCATCCTCAATTCTTCATCATATTAAATCAATATAATTATTATAAAACTATGTACTACGTGAAAGAAAATTAATTAATTTATGTTATTGAAAAATGAAGAAGTGTTTATAGGACGAGTATCTATATATAATAATTTTTTTGAATGTCTTTAAGTTAAATTCTACATAAAAGAAAAATCGAAATCAATTAATGTATTGGTTTTGGTTTTATTATATTTCGGCTAAAATTGTTTTATTTATTACCTTATAAATTATTATCATAAATACCTAACAAAAATAATATTAAGTTATTACAATGTTCACAATGACCGGCTCATTGCATTATTAATTAATATTATTAATTGCATTATTAATTAATATAATTTTAAAGCTTGTTCACATTAAAATAAATTAAATAATAATAACAAAAATAATAAGAATAATAATTTAAAAGCATTTAATTTAGTTTACAAAAAACTATTTTAAATTTACTTTTAGTAAATTATTGCAATGCATCATAAAACCTACTGCTACTAAACATTCTAGTCTTCTAATTGATAACTTTACATCCTAGCATAAATAAAAATAACTAATAATTATTGAAAATTTTTACCTTATATAGCTTTAAAACAAAAATATATTTTAAAATTTTCATGGTTATTAATTTTTGCAAAATTATTATTAAGCAGCACTTCAAAAAATGTAATTAATATTTATTTACGATAATTTAATATACGTTCATTATCATTATCTGTTAAACACCTGTTACAGCTCTGTGAAACCAATAATGCAGCTGTTATTAACATATCGTGAGTTTATTCCTTATTTTAATTTTAACGAACTGATTTATTAAAATGAAATAAATGTAAAATATTCTAGTTTTGTAGGTTAACGTTTTCTCAGTACAATACTAAATAATCTAATCTAATAATTATGTTGAAGTTCGCAGCACTCCCAGTAAGTTATATTGTTTCATAAAGTCTTATGTTAAATGTTAAAGTGAAAGCAGTTGCACTAGATGTTATGATTCTATTATTATTATTTTTGAGCACGTCAGAGTTATTAAATTATTCATAAATATTGTACGTGCAGATCTAAGCTACAATGTTAAGAAATATGAAATAAATTAACCAAAATATGTGAAGTAGCTCATGTCCAATTTTTTCGAGATTATTCTATTTTTATGTTTTTTATGATGACTTCGCCAGATTTGGGCA